CTTCACGAAACTACCGGGTTACCTAAAAAATCTGTGTCGCGCAACTTATCATGTGGTCTGGACTAGTATTCTAGATGGTATTGAATTACAGTTTAATTTGATCTCATGAAGAACAGGAACCTCAGTTTATTTCCCCTGATTAAACACCACAATATTAAATGGGGGGATTATGGTTAGGTTAATTAGATTAGGTTAGTTTGGTTTAGCCTTAGGGCGTTTAATCATCGGGTGAACTAAGCTGGGGTTCCTAATCTTCATGTGATATGTTTAATCTGGTATATGGTGACACAACCTCTCCTTAGGAGTTGATGTGGTTAAACTACATAACTCATGCATTTTATTGATGATGCTCTACATAGGAATTAAGTATGTTGATTTGCATTTATTGTTGCACTTGATGGCACTCAAGCAGTTGTAGTATAAGATAAGGAATCAGTGGTGAGTTTTGGGGTACCAGCACCTTACTCAGTATTCCATGCCTCACATAAAGTACAAGGCAATTATGGGGCATGCAATTTGGTATGGAGGACAAAGACTCTTACATCCTTGGTAATGATGTGTTGTGGCCACAAAGATGCCTTGGTCTTCTCTGATGGTATTCAGTCTTGCTTGTGCCTTGTTTCTGTCATAGCTCAAGATAGGGTGGAAGTGAGAAGTCACAAATTGCCATATCCCGGTGTCATTAAAATTTTTTGTGAAAATGTGGATCGCATTGAAATGTTTACCTGTGATGGCCGACTGCTCATAATAAAGATGATAATCCAAAAGTGAATTCCATGTTGCATGACCACGAACTGCCTTGCACTTACGATGGAATGATGGCAGTAGTCCGACGGTGCTCAGATTTGATGGATGATGAGGAAAATAATATAGAATCAATGGATTTATACCTTAGACAACTAAGGTTAGCACACAGGCTCTTAAGTGAACCCCAGTTATCTTTATTTTCCACTGATGTTAGAGTGGAACAAAATATTGAACAAAAGGAATCTTACCTTGTACATATACAGTATGACAGAGTTAATAAAGATGTTGACTTAGATGGACAGTGGTGGAGACTTAGTATAGTTATTCTCAGACTAGATGGAACACAATTACAGGTATTCAATACTTAGCTTGACAGTGGATGCCTTAAGAGAACTCTGTGTTTGTCTATAGCATTACCTGCACTTGACCTTAGCAGCGTGAAGGGTAGAACTGTGGAAAGTTACTTGGTATTAGAGCACTTTTCCTCATCTCGTCCTGTGTGTCGGGTCCTGGCTTGTACCACAACAGTTGACATACTTCACTTCCTTTCATAAGAGGATAATTTAAGTACAGATACTAAACAATTTACATCTTCAGATTCTGGCTCAACTTTTCAGAAAGCGGTGAAGGGGACAGAATGTACAGATTCTAAATCTTGTATACACAGACTTAATTCTTATCTGTAGAGTGAGTTTTTTCTATATCGTAGAAGATAACACTACATCTTTATTTGGACCATTACTCAGTTTTACTCCATCATACCCTGAGGGTGAGAACAGTGTGACTAATAACCACCAAATAACATTCTGGTACCATGGTGACTGTGTTCATCTCCATTTTTCCACAAAAGGCAACAAAACTATTGTGACACTAGAAGGCTCAAAACCATCAGTGGTTCTGTCGTTAAAGGCAGTCCTACAGAGGAGGGTGAGAAAACAGACAAATTTCTGCACCAGTGACTCACTCTCTCTCTATCAGTGTTGAAACAGGCACGTGATGTTCATAGCATAGTTATTGAAGAAAATTCAGAATCAACACAGATGGTTATCTGCCACCTCCACCATTCTATCACAAACTTAATATCATTACTGCCACTGTGATAACTTGAGCACTTGTCACAGTTACACAAAAAGGTGCTGTACTGTACTGAATGGCTATCAACATCCCCGGTAATAGAAACAATATTGAATTTAGAGTACAGTACATACCTGTTTGGTTCTTAATTTCCTTAAAGAACTTGGCATCGTCTGGAGGAGTGTATAGCTTCTTTTATGTCATTTATGAAGCAAGCAAACAAACAACAACGGGCCCAATGCACTGCCCTGTCGGGGGGTACCACAGGTGGTGAGATGATAGAATTATTAATTATAGTTTATATTTGTTTACTTAGCTGTTTGCAATCAGATATAATATTGATTATATAGAATATAATGATTATAAAATGTATAATAAATATTTTTGTAAAACCTAGACTTTTATTTCAGTTTCAGTAATTAAAAACAAATGCTACTAATGAACATAATGTATATATATATATGGGCCAGAAATTTTATAACTCCTTATACTGAATGTTATTAATTTTGGTGTATACTGTATAGAGAACAAGTCCTTCACCTGATATATGTGGTAACCAAAATAATATACTGTATTAAGAATTTTGTTTCACCGAATATTGTTAGTGAAAATTTTAGTACGTACAAAACAGGAAGGAGGGGAGGGGCTGTCTAGTAGAAACAGTACGGTACATCACCCATTATACGATATACATTACAGTAGTAAAAGTCATGTGTGGAAGTTAAACAAAATTAATTAATAAACAAATGGGGAATATCTTGTTTAATTGTTACTGTCGTCTTTTTACTCTTCCTCTGATTAAAAATATATCGTGTACTGTACAACGAAGATTAGGAACCCACCTTATTTCACCTGATGATTTAATATCCTTATGCTAATTTGGAGGTTAGGTTAGATTAGGGTGCTTAATCAAGGTAGACAAAATTGAATGTAAAAAAAAAAGCTGAAAAAAGGCATTAATATAAAAGTCTTGAAATTGTAAAGTTATAAATTTATATGATGACAAAACTCGACAATTCTGACTAAAAAAAAATATTGAGGAACATTGGAGAGGTTGAACATGGCCAATACAGTACAGTATAAGGGTGAACTGGTTGACGTTTAGTATGTGACCGACTGGTAAGCTTCTGTCAATTTGTCTTACTGATTACCATTGTTACATACTTTACCTGCACTGCCTAGGCACAGGGACTTGTACTGTATACTCCCAGGGACTTAATGCACCGTATACCCGTTCTGTATACAGTACAGTATCTACAAAGTGTATACAGTATTCATGCTGAACTGTATAACTGAATAATTTATATACTGTACATGCTTATCTAATTGTAAATCTATATGACAATTTTACTGAATAAAAATTAATATTATTAATAAAGTATTTAGTGGCAGATAGAATAGATTATTGATTAGCAATTCAACATGTACAATAAAATACAATATGGGTAAAAACAACTTATCATTGAGAACATTATTGTAGTATTAGTAAGTTGTGAGTTAAGACCCATAGTACAGTATATAAAAATATGTATAAATAATAATTCTAGATCTATATTTATGAGTCAGACAGCCACCACCACCACTGACTCACTCAAAAGGTTAATTGAATTCGTAGTTATATACTAAAAAGACGATATTTTAAATATACATATTTTTGTTTTAATATTTTTCCAAAGGTTAATCAACATCACTGTGATGCAAATATTTATTAACACAAGTAAAAATATGATTAAACAGAGCAAATAAAATACTGATAAAAATCACGTTTAATTATCATCGCTTGGAAAAATATAATACCAAACTAGTTAATGAAATTCAGTGGTGGTAAATAAGGTAGGTCATGGATAATGATGATACAGCACACTTTATACTAAGATTCAAAACACAAAGTGGCAGCATGACGGTACTGCACTTGATCCTTTACTTCCTCAACAGTAAAGTTAGAAACTCATATACTGTTGGGTGGACTGGGATTGAACCAATGACTCTTTGGACAGGAAGTGAATACTGTATCCATTTCCCAGTTATAAAAAGGCAAGGAAAAACACAGATTACGTACAGTAGGTTGAACAAATGAGATACACATTTTTTATAGTTTATATATGAAATAACTTGGTAAAAAATCATATCTAATCAAGGAACAATAAAAAGGTATTGAATGGTGAAAGGTTAATATCAATAGTAGCTAGCCAATAAGGGCCAAGTGTAAGTCAAGCGACTTTCTTATTGGTCAGTCTGGTGTTTGTCAATGAGTGTGAGAGAGAGAGAGACAGACTACAAGGGGTACAAACTACTCAAATGAAGGACCTATTTCTCACAACGCCCCCGAAACTACGGGCTGCATCACGGATCATGGAAGCAGTCAACGGCAGTAGGTGCCTCAAAGTGACAGTCCTTACCGTAAGTGATACCTGTGGACAGTACTTAAGAGTGTTCCTGTTGAGTGAAAAAGTGAAGGTGGCAACACTTTATGACCCGACTTTTCCATGCATCGTTTATCAAATATCTGAATCGCATAACTGATAATTTATGCTACCATACTGCAGTGACATAATACCCATGGATAACAACCTTATCTGATGGTCTAGTTGTTATTGTTTTAAAAGTCCAGTCCAATTACCTGCATATTAAGCACCTAGTTTATATCACATGAAGATTAACCACCCTAGCATTACCAAGGGTGGGACTAGCGTTAGTTAGGGTAGGTTAAGATAGGTTAGGGCAGGTTAAGTTAGTCTAATCTGGGTGAGTTTAGGTTAGCTTAGGTTAGGTTAGGTTAGGTGAGTTTAGGTTAGGTTAGGGTAGGCAATCCGTTACGACTCTTAGTTGTTTAATTCTCTGGTGTTGTTTATCAAATATTAAGACAATGTATCACCACCTTCCCCTTACAGTACCAACCCTACCTGATGGTGCTGGGTCGCGCCCCACACTGGAGATTCGTCGGCATGTTGACAATAGTGTTGGACATTCTGGCTCAACATCTCGGCTTCTGGTGAGTGTCTGAATCGTTGAGAATCACCCACTGAGTTGTGTTGTTATAATTGTTATAATTCACGGATGGACAGATTTTGAAATATTTACCAAAGTGATATAAACATACGAGCTAATGTTCAAGTGATTCAAATATACTGTAAGTTTTCTTCCCGTTTGTGTGTGTGTGTGTGTGTCGCCAGCTTTGAGTACCTGGTGCCAAATGACAGCATGTTTGGTGACCTCCTCGATAACGGCACCATCACAGGACAAGTGGCACTCCTCAACCGCTCTGTACGTTATGTTAAACACAATTTTATTACAGTATGAGGAAAACTTTTCAAATCTAACGTGAAAATTAACTAAGAGTATTAATGGTAACTTTGTAAATATTCATAGTATAGAGTAGACGATGGTTTACTTTAATATTTATTAAATACTCAACAAAAACAAATAACTACGTGGTGGTGGTTTTAGGAGGCAGATCTGTCGGGGTTGCTCTCCATTACCAGCGGCCGGGTGGGTGTGGTGGACTTCAGCGAACCACTCTTTGTGGACGAGTTCATTATAGCGCATCTACGGCCAGTCATCGGTTCGGACATGGCTGGTTTCGTAAAGCCCTTTAACCACTGGGTGTGTATTATCTTCACTGTTTCTATAGTCTTCTGCCTCCACCTTACTGTTATTATAAACCTGAACTAAACTATATACCTGCATTGGCTATATACAGTAGCCTACATACAGAATCATGGTAAACTTGTATGACGATTGTCACTAAATAATTGCCTAATCGAATTAATATGGACAACGTCAAATAAAATAATTGACTTCCTAACAGACCTACGAATTACCAGAATTGTTCACTAATTACTAGTCCTCAATTGTCAAAAAACATAATATTTACCTTGAAATCTGAGCCATTCTATCGTTCACATCAAAACTACTGTTTCGGTGGCGGCAGATGTGGGTCCTGGTGTTCCTAAGTATCATCGCGATCTTCGTCGCCATCTTCCTCACGCTCTGGGGACACTGCACCTTCATTCCACTGACAAGAGGTCCAGTTGTTGAGGATACTGATGGTGATTTTGTGTGGTACGCTGAGAGGTCTTTCATGTGGACTGTGGCCATTTTGCTGTGTCAGAGTAAGTGAGGAGCTGACTGAGAACGAATGGCAGATGTCATCATTACCTTATAACACCTGGCATATTACCACGATATTATGTACTTAACACTTTCTTTAGTTTTTCTTTTTAATCGTGAATCTATAAACATTAAGGATGTCTAGATGCTTTTTATCTCGTTAAATTTAAAACTCAAATAGTTCTCAAGATTACTTTAGTTTTCCATCAATTTTGTAATTTTAGCTTAATTTTCTTTAATAGATATTAAAGAAAATGAACCTGGAATTGGTAAATATCTGGATAACTTAAATAATTTTGAGAACTATTTAAGTTTTAAGTTTAAAGAGATAAAACCCATGTTTCTCAACAGAACTCTTACAGGTCTCCCGAATGAGCCGAAGAGCGTGTCGGTGCGTGTGGTGGTGGGTCTGTGGCTGCTGGTGTCGTTTATCCTGGGTAGTGTCTATCGCTCCAACCTCAAGGCCATGTTGATTCTGCCCAAGATCGTCCTGCCCTTTGACAACCTGGCCGAACTACGCGACTCTCAGATACCTCTTTTTGTCACGGAGTCTACCCATATTCATCGAGCAATTGTAGTGAGTCTATCTCTCTTTCTTGGTCGCCCTCTTCAACCTTAACATTTGAAGCACCACCATCAACATAAGGATTTTGTTTGGTATTGAATTTTGGCACTAGTTATGCGAACCATGTTTCCACTTTTTTCCCACCAATATTATTACAGACAGTTAGCAATAAGGCCAACCCATCATCCTCCTTTGTATCTGAGTCACAACATGCATCAATCAGTCGCATGTTCCCCTTCCTCCATGCACGTTTCCTTGTGTTGGGCCCACTGACTCCCATGTTTACCTCACTTATTTATTTCTTTTAGTTTTATTCATTTTTATTAATTATTATTAATTATATTATTATGTTTTCGCCCCCAGGCCCTGATGTGGGTTAGTGACCTTTGCCTGGGTGGGCTAATCCCCGTAACAACAATAAAACCCAAAAAATAATCACAAAAGACAACCTTATCCCTCATCAGTTTACCAAAAACTTTCACACTTCGAGCATCATGATTTACATTTAAAAAATATATACAGTAGACGTTTTTAGTAAACAACTCACAATGGGTTGGTGTACTGCGGTAACGCGCATCACTCTCACTATATGTCAAGGGTTCGAGCCTCGGACAGGACATACGTGAGAAGATTGTTATTCAGTGTGACCCTCACTACCTAACACCACAGGTTTCCCGGTCCGCGGTTTCCTCCTGTACTAACACTGGACAGACCGCCCAAACGGCTAGTAAGCTAATAAGTGGCGAATATGATATTAAAAAAAAAGCGAGTAAAGTTTAGTTTTTAGTGTATTTATTCTACATAATAATAATAATAATACCAATAATAATACAGTAATAATAATAATAATCCCTTTTACCTCAACTTGTGCGTGTGTGCGACCAGTGACCTTTATCTTCACCAGGAAGCCAACGTTAACAGCTCCTTGGCCCAGGTGAGAGGTCAGACCTACTGGCACGTAGACCAAAATAAAGCCATCGCGGACTTGTATGCTGGCCGCCACGCCGCCGCCGCAATAGGAGCTTCGGCAAAGTCCATCACCCATTCTTACTTCTCCAAGGTACTGTTGAGAGAGAGAAAGATTGATACAGATAGATTTAAAAAAAATAATTAATTGATAATAGATGGAGGACGATTTAGCTATGAGACAGACAGGTAGACAGACACTTAATAGCCCCACATTGCAGACAGGTCATTGTAACGTATACGTGATGTCGGGTGACGTTCTTCCGGGAATCAGCCAGTCTCTCGCTTTCCCCAAGGGGTCAACACTCAAGCCTAAAGTCGATAATGTGTGAGTGTTGCTGCTTATATCTCACGACGTTTATTGAATGTCTCACGTGTGCTTTAATATCTAACATGTATTAAACATTTCAATGCATTTAATCTCACGTGTGACAATCTATGTCTCATTAGCATTCGTAGGCTGAAGGAGTCGGGTATTCTGGATTACCTCTTCCTGCAGTCTGTCTTCAATTCCACCGAGTGTCTCAAGCCCTTCAATACCGCCGCCGTCACCTCCAGTGATCTCCGCAGCCTCGATTTAGGAGACTTTTACGGCGTCCTCTCCCTCTATGCTGCGGGTGAGTGGTGCTGGTGCTTGTCACAAATAAACACTTTACCTTCTCCCTGTGTTAATTATTCTCTTAATTCTCAGTCTAACTTGCTTCCAGGAGAGGATAGTTCCCATAGCAGCCCCATAACTAGTCCAGGGGCTCAGTAAAGGTATAACTGGGGTTAAAAATAAGAAGTTGCTAACACACGTCTTCCGAAAAATTTTAATTACTGTATTATTAGTGTTATTTATATTACTATTACCCAGGTATCGTGGTAGCGGGGTTGACCTTCGTGCTGGAGAAGCTGTTGGGTCGCGGGAGACAGTAGGGGTAGGTGGATGTTGGTGCGGTCAGCTGGTTAACATTGACCTACCACATGTCTCTTGTCTCAGATGGTTGACACTCGTCTGCCCTCACCAATCACTGACACGGAGACCTGTGAAGCAGCTTAGTTTGTTGTCCTGATATAAATACATTATTATTATTATTATTATTATTATTATTATTATTATTATTATTATTATTATTATTATTATTATTATTATTATTATTATTATTATTATTATTATTATTATTATTATTATTATTATTATTATTATTAACAACGCTCATAGGAGCGTTATTGGTTTGTTGCTGGAGAAATAAACCCTCAACGTTGACTCGTACCATATAATTCGGTCAAAACCTGTTAAAGAACATTTCTCATATAACAAATGCTGTTATCTCAGGACACATATTATGAAATACAATCAATATACAGTACATAGCCTGTTAACATCTTAAATATAACTCGCATGTTATAACTATTGATACAGGAGACAATTGGTATAATATGATCAAATTGCAGTACACAAATATACTTATTAAAGTTATTTAGAGTTTCTTAGCAGATTCTAATACTTCACGATCACTCACGTTTTAGGGTCTAGTGGTCTGAACCAACGTGTTGTCTGTCCTGTAGAAATCAGTAGACTACCCTCGAGGGCAATCTCAGCCCGGAGGCGAGGGCCATATGTTTTCGTAACACCTCAGCAGATTGGTCAGCAAATTCGTTGTCAACGCTATATCTCTTATCTCACCCCCTCTCTCTTTCTCTCTCGCCTAGTTTATCTTATTATGGTTATCCCTCTCTTTCTCTCTCTTCTAGCTTATCTTACTGTGGCGGTAACAATTATTATTTCCACCGTTAATGTTTACTTTGTAATTCTTATTATCAGTTGAAAATTTATATCGTCGTCTTTGCTACTTGACAATACAATTAGTAAACTATCCGTAATCGTATAGAAATAATAATAGTAAAATTAATGACAGTAACTACTACTACTAATAATAACCACTTAATTGTATTGTACTGTATATTCATAAGTACTGTATGTTAAAAATAAACGACACTGCTTTTAATCCATTTTTTATTTCCATAGTAAACCCGCTTTCCCTTTTAAATATACTATATATAGCAGATAGGTATAGCTAGAAATTGTATGAAGCAAATCATTAATCATTTCTCTCTTGGTTTCATGTACTACCGAGTTACATCCACAAGCACACACAACAGTGACGAATAGCTACAAGACACTTTGCTTTGCTTGAGTGCAGTGACAAGTCTCACTTTATACACTGGCCGACATCAACACATCTCCTCACACTCACTACTGAACTTACTGCCAACACCCATTAAATCGTCCTGTGTGTAAGCCTCAAGATATAGTGGTGGTGATAGTGTAGTGGTGGTGATAGTGTAGTGGTGGTGATAGTGTGGTGGTGGTGGTGGTGATAGTGTAGTGGTGGTGATAGTGTAGTGGTGGTGAGTGTGGTGTAGTGTAGTGGTGATGATAATGTAGTGGTACTGATAGTGTGGTGGTGGTGATAGTGTAGTGGTGGTGGTGGTGATAGTGTAAAGGTGGTGATAGGTGGTGGGTGGTGTAGTGGTGATGATAATGTAGTGGTACTGATGTGTGGTGGTGGTGATGGTGTTGTGGTGGTGGTGGTGATAGGTGTTGTGGTGGTGGTGGTGATAGTGTAAATGTGGTGATAGTGTGGGTGGTGGTGGTGATGGTGTAGTGGTGATGAAAGTGTAGTGGTAGTGATAGTGTGGTGGTGGTGGTGGTGTAGTGTTGTGGTGGTGGTGGTGATGTTGTGGTGATGGTGGTGGTGGTGGTGATAGTGTAGTGGTGGTGAAAGTGTAGTGGTAGTGATAGTGTGGTGGTGGTGATGTGTAGTGGTGGTGATATTGTAGTGGTGGTGGTGGTGGTGATAGTGTGGTGGTGGTGGTGGTGATAGTAGTGGTGATGATAGTGTAGTGGTAGTGATAGTGTGGTGGTGGTGATAGTGTGGTGGTGATAGTGTGGTGGTGGTGGTGGTGATAGTGGTGGTGATGATAGTGTAGTGGTAGTGATAGTGTGGTGGTGGTGATAGTGTAGTGGTGGTGATAGTGTAGTGGTGGTGATAGGGTGTGGTGATGGTGATGGTGTGGTGGTGATGATGGTGTAGTGGTAGTGATAGCGTAGTGGTGGTGATAGTGTAGTGGTGGTGATGGTGTAGTGGTGGTGATAATGTAGTGGTGGTGATAGGGTAGTGGTGATGGTGATAGTGTGGTGGTGATGATAGTGTAGTGGTAGTGATAGTGTGGTGGTGGTGTAGGTAGTGGTGAGTGTGTGGTGGTGGTGATAGTGTAGTGATAGTGTAGTGGTGGTGGTAATGTAGTGGTGGTGATGGTGGTGGTGTGGTGATGGTGTAGTGGTGATGATGTGTAGTGGTAGTGATGGTGGTGGTGGTGATAGTGTAGTGGTGGTGATGGGTGGTGGTGATGGTGTGATAGTGTAGTGGTGATGATAGTGTAGTCGTAGTGATAGTGTGGTGGTGGTGATAGTGTAGTGGTGATGTGTAGTGGTAGTGATAGTGTAGTGGTAGTGATAGTGTGGTGGTGGTGATAGTGTAGTGGTAGTGATAGTGTGGTGGTGGTGATAGTGTAGTGGTGATGATAGTGTAGTGGTGGTGATAGTGTGTGGGTGTGATAGTGTGATGGTTGTGATAGTGTAGTGGCAGTGATGGTGTGGTGGTGGTGATGGTGTAGTGGTAGTGATAGTGTGGTGGTGGTGATGGTGTAGTGGTAGTGGCGTGGCAGTGATAGTGTGGTGGTGGTGATAGTGTAGTGGGTGATAGTGTGGTGGTGGTGATGGTGTGGTGGCAGTGATAGTGTGGTGGTGGTGTGATAGTGTAGTGGCAGTGATAGTGTGTGGTGGTGGTGATAGTGGTATGTAGTGTGGTGGTGGTGGTGTAGTGGTGGTGGTAGTGATAGTGTGGTGGTGGGTGATAGTGGTGGTGGTGGTGTAGTGTGTGGTGATGATGGTGTAGTAGTAGTGATAGTGTGGTGGCGGTGATAGTGTGGTGGTGGTGATAGTGTAGTGGCAGTGATAGTGTGGTGGTGGTGTGGTGGTGATGTGTGGTGGTGGTGATAGTGTAGTTAGTGGTGGTGGTGGTGGTGGGTGATGTGTGGTGTGTAGTGGTGGTGTGGTGGTGGTGATAGTGTAGTGGTGATGTGTGTAGTAGTGTGGTGGCAGTGGTGGTGGTGGTGATGTGTAGTGGTGGTGTGGTGTAGTGATATGGTGTGGTGGTGTAGTGATGTGTGGTAGGTGGTGGTGGTGTGGTGGGTGATAGTGGTGGTGGGTGGTGTAGTGATAGTGTGGTGGTGGTGATATGGTAGTGATAGTGTGTGTAGTGAGTGGTGGTGGTGATAGTGTAGTGGTGATGATAGTGTAGGTAGTGATAGTGGTGGTGATAGTGGTGGTGATAGTGTAGAGTGATGATAGTGGTGGCGTGGTGGTGTGGTGTGTGTGGTGGTGTGGTGTAGTGTAGTGTAGTGGCGGTGTGTGGTGTGGTGGTGTGGTGGTGGTGATAGTGTGAGTGGTGGTGGTGGTGAGTGGTGTGGTGGTGGTGATAGTGTAGTGCCTGTGTCTCTCTACCTTGCCCCCCACCCTTTAAACACTCTCTAGCCTCTACCTAACTTTACCTGAACCTTCCTCACCGTGCCAAGCCTCTGTGTGTTCATGTTGCAGAATTTGTCCGTCAGTGTAGCCTACAGTATATAAATAAAGTGAATCAAATGCGTAATGGATTTTTCATATAATCATTTCATTGTGTCTCTGTTGCTCAGTATTGTTTGCCAATCTTTCAATTCTGGACCAATCAGTTTGAAACGTGGCTGAAATTTATCTTCGTCTAATACTCCCGGAACTCTTATCTTAGTTTGTTTATTTTACATTTTTGTTTTCTTAGAATTTTATGAAGCCAAGAGGTGTGCTGTGCGGGAAGACATTTTGCATTTCCTTGTGAGTGTTTTTGTTAAGAACTAATTTTATATTCAGTTTATCGTTATTACTTGTTGGTATTGAAAAACAAAATTTATTAGGATGTATATTGGTTCAGTATTGAAATCTTTTTATTTAATTATTTTTTATCTTGACTATAGTAATGATTGTAAAAAAATGTTGATACTGATGACAGAGCAATTCAAAGTCTAGCGATTAAATACATTGATAAATGAATAGCTTATATCACTAAAATATCACTAAAATCTTAACATACTCGTGTTGATAACTGAATAACTTAAAACCCAAACACTGGATGAACAGATAAACGGAACAGTCCAGTTTTAAAGAATTAATTAAAGCCGCTATGATTACACTCAAAAACTATGCACTGATGAAAGAATCCATAAACAATTTCCTGGACCTTGATCACAGTTGGCAGCGGCTGTGGTGCCCAAAATACCACCTGGGGGTGTAAACACATGGTGAGGCTGGGTGGCGGTGTAGACCACTGTATAAAGGAAGTTCCGCCACCCCCTCACCTCCCAGTTGCGGGTTCCTCCTCGGTGCTGACACAGACACACACACACACACTCACACAGACACTCGATATTTCCATCTATCAGTTGTGTGTTGAGCAAGTACTGAACGACATGGCGACGGTACAGAAAAAGACGACACGTACGACAAAGAAAGTTTCCACCGAGACGAGGGGTGAGGCGCAGACCCAGTCATCTGTGACACAGTCCTCGCAAATGTCGACACACAAGACCGTCTCCATCACAAAGAAGGGACAGTTTTTCAGTGATTCGTGTTTTGAGGACACTCGTCAGGACTTCCAGGATGCTATCAAGGATGTCTTGACGAAATGTGGTGACAAGACGACCAAGGGAGATGAACTAACCACCTACCGGACCCTTCGAACCCGTGAACTCAAGGACGAGACCCAAGCCATTAAATCGTCCGACGATGAACTCTACCACAAGGTGAAACATTATTTACTCGGAATATCAACAAATATAACTATTTTTTTATGAATTATTAGATGCAATGGTTTTAAAATGGTCGTTGAATTTAACACACACATTATCGCACTGTTACTGTAGATTGTCGTGGATGTCAACGATTTCATAAACGGCGGAGAGGTGAATGTGAGGACGGTGGAGGAGAGGGAGGTGGTGGTGGAGGGCCGTGTGGAGAGGCAGGTGGGCAACACCAGGTCCAGCAAAAGCTTTAAACGAAGCTTCACCCTCCCAGACAACATCCAGGTGGAGGCTCTCACTGCCGTCGTCTCTTCTGATGGCGTCCTTATCATCAGAGCTCCCAAGAAAGTAAGTAATAATGTATACGAAAATGGTGTCACTGGTACAAACTGCAGGGTTCTGTTATGCTAGTTCACCCAAAATTAAACATGTATTTTGACCCGTTGAAAGTTACCTTGAATTTACCAGATTTCGACTAAAAAAATTTCATATGGGTGACTTATGTACACACACACACACACACACACACACACACACACACACACACACACACACACACACACACACACTGGATAGAACTGGTCCCGGTATAGTGTTTCTTAATTAGCATAAGGCCGCTGCCATTACCAGGTCTGTCAACCAAGTGGCTCACGTCAGAGCCTCGTGAGCCTTGTCAGGTTAATGTGATCGTTGACAGCTGGAGGATGCGACTGACCGCCCAACCAAAACATCACGGCCACACCTCACCAAACTGTCTTGGGTGTGTGATTATAACCTTTAAGAAAACTGGTGGTGTATTTGTGAGCCAAACGAACACTTAAGCGGCTTTACCCATATGTTCTACGACTTAGGGATCACCTGAAGATTAAGCACCCCAGTTTATTTCACCTGATGATTAAACACCCTAATGTTAACCTAACCTAACTTAACCTATCCTAATTTAAACTCTCTCCCCTCCCTCCCGGTAGCATTAGGGTGATATTAGGTGATATAAGCTAGGGGGGTTAATCTTCAGGTGATCTCAACTTTCAAATAGACTCTTCCAGCGTTAGTACTTGTCCATACTGTTGAACAAATACGTGATGGGACAAGACACCACACACACACTCACTCCTCTGTCAATCACATAACTTAAGGTTAGTTAATTCACTCATACAATCTGGGTTTTTGCTTCAGCTATTTGTAAATTCCTTACCATCCGTTTATATGTTGTGTTACGTTATGTTCTCATGCGTTACAGCCATCAGCGGCGACGCCCTCAGAAGTCAGCATTACAAAGACTCAAGTGAAGAAGCAAGTGCAGAGCTCAGTCACCACCGAGACAGATGGACAAGCCGTCGATAAAACCGTATCTGCTCAAACACAGAATGTTAGCCAGGCGACAAAACAAGCACAGAAGAGCGTGGTCAGCCAACAGGTAACCCAACAGACCAAAACTGCGAGTGACACCACCGCCACTGAGCCTGGCTGTAGGGCTCTGCCCATTACCAAGAAAGGCAGCTTCTTCGACGACTCCTTCTTTGAGGATTCTCGCCAGAATTTCCAGCAGGCTATCAAGCAGGTGCTGGAGAAGTTCAACGAGACATCTACTCAAACTGACGATATCACCACCTACAGGAACCTTCGTCAGCGCAACCTGAAGGAGGAGAACCAAGCAGTAACTGTGAAAGAAGACCAACATACTCATAAGGTTATTATCTATATGAAGTTTGATGTTTGTTGAGGCCTGAACACTTTACTCATTGTTATCACTGTTCTTTCGCTCATAATTGAAATAATGAAATAAACCGTTACCGTTATATGAACACGTAAGTGATGAACATATTTCTCCTCAATGCAATACCTCGTCATTAAATGTATTCATATGTTGCAGATAATCGTAGACGTACAAGACTTTGTGAACGGTGGAGAAGTGACCGTGAAGACAGTGGATAACCGAGAGGTGGTCATCGAGGGTCACATTGAGAAGCAGGAGGGCAACACCAGGTCCTCAAAACGCTTCTGTAAACGATTTGTTCTGCCAGAAGATATTGACGTAGAGACCGTGACGTCTGTGGTGTCAACTGATGGAGTGCTCACTATCATAGCTCCAAGAAAGGTAAGGATCTGTTTACACATGATAATGAGAACAAAATATAACTTTTTGTGGTTGTAATTGACAAATAATAGTTATATTAATATAAATAATTCAATTGTCCTCTAACATGTACATATTTCACAGCCTTCAGCTAAGCCTGTGATGGACGTCAGTGTTCAGAAAACAGAAACTAAGAAACAAGTTCAGACTTCAACAGTCACAACGACTGAAGGACAAGACGTCAAGGAAGCTCAGGTGACAACCCAGGAAGTTGCAAAGGATGCACAGGACGTTACCAGCCAGCAACAAACTGTTCAACAGAAGACAGTATCCACTGTGACCCAGCAGGAGGAGGCTCCCGTTACCATTCAGAAGATTACCAAGGTGATGAAAACTGTTACAACCACAGAAAGTGAGGAAGATAGTGAACCAACTCCTGTCCAAACACCAGAAGTTAAGGAAACTGATGAAACTGTTGTTCGTCAACAAGTTGTGACCCAACAGACCAAAACTGTGAGTGACACCACCGCCACTGAGCCTGGCAGTAGGGCTCTGCCCATTACCAAGAAAGGCGGCTTCTTCGACGACTCCTTCTTTGAGGATTCTCGCCAGAATTTCCAGCAGGCTATCAAGCAGGTGCTGGAGAAGTTCAACGAGACGTCTACTCAAACTGACGATATCACCACCTACAGGAACCTTCGTCAGCGTAATCTGAAGGAGGAGAACCAAGCAGTAACTGTGAAAGAAGACCAACAAACTCATAAGGTAAACAGTTTCAGTTTTTTCATACTACATTCTTTTATTCGAATACACAGTTAAGGTTGGATGCACCTCCTGTAGGTGCCCCACCTCGTGTGTGAGGACTTACAGTTCCAAGTGGTAGCTGTGACGCCATAGGGTGAATCGTATAGCCTTTGAGAGATCTAAAAATCAAGTTCTTTCTAGTTGGTAAATACAGAAACAGACTAATGCTTAGTTTGACTTATCTGGATACCCGCAAACATAAAACGCAATTAAAAAGCAAAAACAAAAAACTAATTTACTCTCTTTGGTATGTGGATAATAGAACTTATGTTGTAATGTTTCATCAAAGAAAAGAAGTTACATATCTGCAATATTTTCAGTGCTTTTGACCATCATAATGTATTGTTGCAGATAATTGTAGACGTACAAGACTTTGTGAACGGTGGAAAAGTGACCGTGAAGACAGTGGATAACCGAGAGGTGGTCATCGAGGGTCACATTGAGAAGCAGGAAGGCAACACCAGGTCCTCAAAACGCTTCTGTAAACGATTTGTTCTGCCAGAAGATATTGACGTAGAGACCGTGACGTCTGTGGTGTCAACTGATGGAGTGCTCACTATCATAGCTCCAAGAAAGGTAAGGATCTGTTTACACATGATAATGAGAACAAAATATAACTTTTTGTGGTTGTAATTGACAAATAATAGTTTTATTCATATAAATAATTCAATTGTCCTCTAACATGTACATATTTCACAGCCTTCAGCTAAGCCTGTGATGGACGTCAGTGTTCAGAAAACAGAAACTAAGAAACAAGTTCAGACTTCAACAGTCACAACGACTGAAGGACAAGACGTCAAGGAAGCTCAGGTGACAACCCAGGAAGTTGCAAAGGATGCACAGGACGTTACCAGCCAGCAACAAACTGTTCAACAGAAGACAGTATCCACTGTGACCGAGCAGGAGGAGGCTCCCGTTACCATTCAGAAGATTACCAAGGTGATGAAAACTGTTACAACCACAGAAAGTGAGGAAGATAGTGAACCAACTCCTGTCCAAACACCAGAAGTTAAGGAAACTGATGAAACTGTTGTTCGTCAACAAGTTGTGACCCAACAGACCAAAACTGTGAGTGACACCACCGCCACTGAGCCTGGCAGTAGGGCTCTGCCCATTACCAAGAAAGGCGGCTTCTTCGACGACTCCTTCTTTGAGGATTCTCGCCAGAATTTCCAGCAGGCTATCAAGCAGGTGCTGGAGAAGTTCAACGAGACGTCTACTCAAACTGACGATATCACCACCTACAGGAACCTTCGTCAGCGCAACCTGAAGGAGGAGAACCAAGCAGTAACTGTGAAAGAAGACCAACAAACTCATAAGGTAAACAGTTTCAGTTTTTTCATACTACATTCTTTTATTCGAATACACAGTTAAGGTTGGATGCACCTCCTGTAGGTGCCCCACCTCGTGTGTGAGGACTTACAGTTCCAAGTGGTAGCTGTGACGCCATAGGGTGAATCGTATAGCCTTTGAGAGATCTAAAAATCAAGTTCTTTCTAGTTGGTAAATACAATAATAGACTAATGCTTAGTTTGGCTTACCGCGATACCCGCAAACTTAAAAAGTAATTAAAAAACATGTAATTTACTCTCTTTGGTATGTGGATAATAGAACTTATGTTGTAATATTTCATCAAAGAAAAGAAGTTACATATCTGCAATATTTTCAGTGCTTTTGACCATCATAATGTATTGTTGCAGATAATTGTAGACGTACAAGACTTTGTGAACGGTGGAAAAGTGACCGTGAAGACAGTGGATAACCGAGAGGTGGTCATCGAGGGTCACATTGAGAAGCAGGAAGGCAACACCAGGTCCTCAAAACGCTTCTGTAAACGATTTGTTCTGCCAGAAGATATTGACGTAGAGACCGTGACGTCTGTGGTGTCAACTGATGGAGTGCTCACTATCATAGCTCCAAGAAAGGTAAGGATCTGTTTACACATGATAATGAGAACGAAATATAACTTTTTGTGGTTGTAATTGACAAATAATAGTTTTATTCATATAAATAATTCAATTGTCCTCTAACATGTACATATTTCACAGCCTTCAGCTAAGCCTGTGATGGACGTCAGTGTTCAGAAAACAGAAACTAAGAAACAAGTTCAGACTTCAACAGTCACAACGACTGAAGGACAAGACGTCAAGGAAGCTCAGGTGACAACCCAGGAAGTTGCAAAGGATGCACAGGACGTTACCAGCCAGCAACAAACTGTTCAACAGAAGACAGTATCCACTGTGACCGAGCAGGAGGAGGCTCCCGTTACCATTCAGAAGATTACCAAGGTGATGAAAACTGTTACAACCACAGAAAGTGAGGAAGATAGTGAACCAACTCCTGTCCAAACACCAGAAGTTAAGGAAACTGATGAAACTGTTGTTCGTCAACAAGTTGTGACCCAACAGACCAAAACTGTGAGTGACACCACCGCCACTGAGCCTGGCAGTAGGGCTCTGCCCATTACCAAGAAAGGCGGCTTCTTCGACGACTCCTTCTTTGAGGATTCTCGCCAGAATTTCCAGCAGGCTATCAAGCAGGTGCTGGAGAAGTTCAACGAGACGTCTACTCAAACTGACGATATCACCACCTACAGGAACCTTCGTCAGCGCAACCTGAAGGAGGAGAACCAAGCAGTAACTGTGAAAGAAGACCATCAAACTCATAAGGTCAGTTGTTTGGTGGCCAATATTAAAGACTGTTATCTTTGGGAACTAGTTATTGCTAGAAGTTCATAATGATGGTAGCTTGTCATTTCTTAATTCACTCACACATTAGTGCTTCTCTTTATTGGTTATTACTGATAACCAAAAAGCTCATAACTTATCAGTTTTCTCTCCCAGTCAAATAATTATCTGTTTTATCAAGGAAAAATTATATGTGATGAACTTTGATACTCCAGCTTCTTTTGAGTTACAGATAACTGAGCCAACAGTAGCAAGAATAAGTTAAGTAAAATATGCGCCACTTCCTCAGATAATCGTAGACGTACAAGACTTTGTGAACGGTGGAGAAGTGACCGTGAAGACAGTGGATAACCGAGAGGTGGTCATCGAGGGTCACATTGAGAAGCAGGAAGGCAACACCAGGTCCTCAAAACGCTTCTGTAAACGATTTGTTCTGCCAGAAGATATTGACGTAGAGACCGTGACGTCTGTGGTGTCAACTGATGGAGTGCTCACTATCATAGCTCCAAGAAAGGTAAGGAACTGTTTACACATGATAATGAGAACAAAATATAACTTTTTGTGGTTGTAATTGACAAATAATAGTTATATTAATATAAATAATTCAATTGTCCTCTAACATGTACATATTTCACAGCCTTCAGCTAAGCCTGTGATGGACGTCAGTGTTCAGAAAACAGAAACTAAGAAACAAGTTCAGACTTCAACAGTCACAACGACTGAAGGACAAGACGTCAAGGAAGCTCAGGTGACAACCCAGGAAGTTGCAAAGGATGCACAGGACGTTACCAGCCAGCAACAAACTGTTCAACAGAAGACAGTATCCACTGTGACCCAGCAGGAGGAGGCTCCCGTTACCATTCAGAAGATTACCAAGGTGATGAAAACTGTTACAACCACAGAAAGTGAGGAAGATAGTGAACCAACTCCTGTCCAAACACCAGAAGTTAAGGAAACTGATGAAACTGTTGTTCGTCAACAAGTTGTGACCCAACAGACCAAAACTGTGAGTGACACCACCGCCACTGAGCCTGGCAGTAGGGCTCTGCCCATTACCAAGAAAGGCGGCTTCTTCGACGACTCCTTCTTTGAGGATTCTCGCCAGAATTTCCAGCAGGCTATCAAGCAGGTGCTGGAGAAGTTCAACGAGACGTCTACTCAAACTGACGATATCACCACCTACAGGAACCTTCGTCAGCGTAATCTAAAGGAGGAGAACCAAGCAGTAACTGTGAAAGAAGACCAACAAACCCAAAAGGTCAGTTGTATCCGCCTCAATTGACATATCATTTACTGTATTTTATAATTAATTTCTAAAATGATGCCAATTATATTATCAATGTAGATTTATATTAGTGATCACTCGTGATTTCCTCGTTCTTAATTAGTGATAAAAATACTGTAAAATATGTGGTCATTGCTTCCAGATGATTGTAGACGTACAGGACTTTATAAATGGTGGAGAGGTTACCGTCAGGATAGTAAACAAACGGGAGGTAGTCATCGAGGGTCGCATCGAGAAGCAGGAGGGCAACACCAGGTCCTCAAAACGCTTCTGTAAACGATTCGTGCTGGCAGAAGATATTGACGAGGAAACCGTGACGTCTGTGGTGTCTGCTGATGGAGTGCTCACTGTTATTGCTCCCAAAAAGGTGAGTATGTTTTTTTTATTCTTAAATCTATGAAGCATCTGTTCTTAATTACACTGTACCCACTAAACATTATTTTCACTGTAATTCCGTCCTTAAACATAAAACTATTGCAAAAATATTCCAGTAATATTATCCTACCCCATAGCCTACAAGAAAGCAAGTAGAAGCTCCCGTGAGCACCGAGAAAATTACGAAAGTGGTGAAAACTATCACAACCACAGAAGGACAAGACGTTAGTGAACCAACACCAGCCAAAACAACACAAGTTGTTAAGGGAACCGATGAGAAGACTGTATCTACTGTTAGCCAGCAGAAGACTGTGTCAGACACCACCACCACCACTACCGACGTCGTGAGAAGGATTATAACCATCATTAAAAAAGGTTTCTTCTTCGAGGACTCCTTCTTTGAGGATTCTCGTCAACTTTTCCAATCAGCTGTCAGGAAGGTGCTGGAAAAGTTCAACGAGACGTCTTCAAAGACTGACGATATCACCACCTACAGGAACCTTCGTCAGCGTAACCTGAAGGAGGAAAACCAAGCCGTCACAGTTAATGAAGGCCAACAGGTGCACAAGGTTAGTGAGACAAGTTCTTACTGTACAATATGGTATCCTGTTTAATGGTAAGTATTTGATGTGTGGTTTTGATAATATTCAAGAGTTATCTTTGTATCTTCATTGCAATATTTGAGTGCCAAGTCCTTGTTCTTTTTCCCATTGATAAGTTTTCGTCTTTGTTCCGCCACACAGTACATAAGTTATATTTGTGTCATGGCATCGTTTATACACATTATAGGATGAAGTGCGGAGATAATGTTCGGCATTAACACTGGGCTTCACACTAAATGAAAATCCACATAATTCCATTTGTATTTGTTCCAGATTATTGTTGATGTCAAAGATTTCATAACTGATGGAAAGGTGACAGTGAAGACGGTGAACGAGAGAGAGGTGGTTATTGAAGGCCAGGTAGAGAAGCAGGAGGGCAACACCAAGTCTACTAAACGCTTCTGTAAACGATTTGTTCTGCCGGAAGATATTGACGTCGAGTCCGTCTCTTCTGTGGTGTCAGCTGATGGTGTGCTCACTATCATAACTCAAAAGAAGGTACGTGAATTTGTCTAAAGAATCATATGAATTTCTAAACATAATTCCGTGTACCATAATATTGTTTTTTCTCGAACAATGTTTGACTGAATACTTCCCTTAGGTGACAAAAACTACCGTGGTAACTAAGCAAGATGCGACAGTTGCCAAGACAGACACAAGTAAGAAGGAAGTCAGCTCAGACACATCACAAACCTCTAAAACTGTGACAACGTCCAAGAAGACTGTTGACCGCAGCACCATCACTAGGACTATTACCGTGGTGACGAAGGGAGCTTTCTCCACCGACTCCGCCTTTGCTAATATCCGCCAAGAGTTCCAGTCATCCATCAAAACTGTCATTGAGAAATTTAAGCTAAAGTCCTCCGGTTCTGACGACTTCACCACCTATAGGAATTTCCGTAAGAGTAACCCAAAGAATGAAAATCAAGCTGTGTCTATGAAAGATACTGACGAGGCCATGACGGTAAGAAAATGTTCTCCCCTTGATATATAAAAAAAGATCATTATTAAATTAGCAATAATTCGAGATTTCCATTGACTACATATCCTTAAATAATACAAATTCATGACTTTTTTCATCATTTCTAGATGGTGCTCGATGTGTGCGACTTCATTGGAGGTCTGAAGGTGCAGCTAATCGAGGGAAAAGAGATTAAAGTAGAGGGTAAAGGAAACAGACAGCAGGGGTCATCAGTGGTGAGCTTCAGTTTCATGCGAGGTTTCCAACTGTATGACAACACAGACCTGGACGCTATCACCGCCGTCATGTCATCAGAGGGGATCCTTACTATCATCGCTCCCAAGATGAAATAGAGAGCTGTTTTCCGCATGAGCTTTTTGTTATTGATGAGCTTATGTAATTGCTAATTAACAGTAGTATATAAACGATTAAAGAGCAGATTAGCTGTTGAAACGCAGTAATACATAATAACATCAATAACGTAAAATAACGTTCAATATTCAAGAGACACACTGTAGCTTATGCCAGTTTAATATTAATGTTAATTTTAACACGTATATATAAAGACATAACGATTTAACACCACACGATTTGTATTCGAAAATTCACGATTCACATTTTAATATCAATGTTTAAATAGGTATCTAACAAAGAACTACTTCATTTTATCCATTATCAACAATTTCCTCATCTTTACAGACAACCTTTTTAGGCTCGAGCGTCTAAGTTGGCAGCTGCCTACCTAGACACGTGTCATTCTAAAGGGAAAAAAAAGATAAATGCGAAGATTTTTAGAAAAGTCGCTATTTTGATTTCACCTTAATGCTAGCCATGATTATTATGTTAAGGTAAAAAAAAAAGAGAGGGAATGTTGCCCAAGTTTATCCTAAAATATATATTTTTTTTATCATCACAAAAACATCCAGGAAGAATGTTCTATTTTCATCCCATGAGTGTAGAAGTTAAGAGGTTGTAGAGTTAGTCACACGCAAGACGAGCATTCTCACGGCGGCAGATGACATTAATACACCAAGACAACGAATAAGACTAAAAAAACATTTACTTCCATGGTTAGATTCTCAAAAGATTAAAAAAAAAATGTTCTTCAACTTGTGCGGCCTTTGTGTGGTTTCGAATATATTCTTTAGACCATTAAGTGAAACAGACGATAAAATTCTTGTAGTTTTCCTGGAAGAGGAAAATGTATAGTAGGAATTTATGAACAATTACACCAGACCAAACTAAAAGACGCAAAGCAAATATCTTTTTCTAGTGTGGAGATATGATACCTTAATTGTCACCAACAATAACAATGCAAATTATTGACCCATAGCCTGATCAACACTATAGTCAAATCTACATATCTATGCTTCAATAGTATAGACGAAAGTCTTTTAAAAGCGCTGATACTTTAGATATAATAGACATTTTATTTTATTTTATATATATAGAGGACCATATAGCAATTTTATGAAAAAATATTTAACGTAAAGACCAGTGTGTTGAGTTTATATATTTGCTTATTAACTTGCAGAATCAGCAGGCATAAAGGCCATATATACGTTCATTTCATATCTATATACACTAATTATTAATGTTATTAAGACTTAGTGACTCATTTAACACTATGATCATATAATAAGCTTCATAGATAGGCATTTATTCAGTAAAATCGTCCGTAATTCTTTAGTCATTTAATTCTTAACTCATTACACTTGCCAACACTGATCTTATGTGATAGAAGGTATAAGGGCGGTGTGTGTGTGTCGTCAGTAGTTGGGGAGGGTTACCATGACTGTCTTAACATAATAAAGTCCTCACTGGACATCTTAACGAAAAAAATAGGTTTTTAATACATCCACAACCTTAATACTATTGTTGTAATGAAGAACATACACAGACACACACACACACGTACTGCTTTAAGAATGAGTACTCAGTGACTTCTTAACATACTCACCATATTAGCCACATTACAAACACCACAAACCAGACCTAATGAGCTTGTTAGTGTCATGATTTTACTTTTATTTGACAGATTATCTGCCATTTTTTTACGAATTTTTTAATTTATGTCAGAATTAAGAGCGCTTCTAGTAACATACAGCGTTAGTTTCAGGTTATAAAGTAGTTTTATATTAATAGTATCTCTCAGTATGAAAATCAGTGTCTTGAGTATATCCCAAATCATACACATTTTACATCCTTATATAAAGTTTAATTTTTTTGTCAAATTATATCAGATGTATTTTTATCCAAAGTATATAGAGTTGTTAGTATGAGAATTATTTTGAAGCTTAAATTCAGGATGTGGGGGGTATTTAATTCAACGTGATTGACAGAAAATTGATTTCGCTTTGAACCTAATATTTCACCATGATAATAGACTCCTACTGTTGTTTAAAAGACTCCTTGTTCTTGGCACACCTTCACCCCTTTACACACACACACACAGAAAGAAAAAATAAATGATAATAAGAATGACTATGAAAGTGGACGAAAACAGATAAAATAAGCAAGAAGGGTTGGGATGGCAATCGTCCATGTGTACCAAGGTCCCATTGCTGGCGGCTGAGTCATGCCACCACCACACCACCCACAGACACCACCACCACCACACCACCCACTAGCCTCCTCTTCCTCCTCCTTTCCGCCACCCACAGCCTATACCACCCACTAGCCACCTCTTCCTCCTTTCCGCCACCCACAGCCTCTACCACCCACAAGCCACTACTATCACCCACTAGACACCACTAACACCCACTGGCCACCACTGCCACCCTCTAGCCACCACTACCACCCACTAAGCCACCCCCTTCTCCAGCACCCACCTCCCGCTTACATCAACACTACGCTACTCTTTTTAGACCAACCCAACGCGCACCTCTTCCCATTTCCTGGTTCTGAGGTGCCGAGAAACACACACACACACACACACACACACACACGCCTCAAGATGGGTATTCCTGGCTCTGACATACTTTCCTTTTTATGAATTACACTATACAGAAATATGAAAACCTATACGTACTTGCTACACTCTATACATGTCAAAAGGTGCAACGCCATTGCTGTTTACATGTACTGATTGATAATATAATCTTTGAAAGGAAAATTAACATCAGACAAGGTAAAGTAGGTGACTATATTCTAATTGTGTATAACATAGTGTCTTTATCTCTATAGAATACGAATTAAGGACCTAAAAGATATTACCCGATATAAATGAAACGTCTCTCCGAGTGTGTTGTTGACCAGGACAACACCAAACACATTTCAAATCACAATTATCTACAATCACGTCTCAACATTTACCAGACATAAAGATAGATAAATATATATCCAACAAAATAGTCATTACAACTTACAATTGATTCAACCTAAATATTGACATAAACAATAAAAAAATAAGAGTTTTGTAGGTATAGAAGAAATGTCCCTAATTAGTGCAGGTATACAAACAAAGTTCCTAGATAGTGCACGTACATAAACAGTAAGGTAAGCAGTAAGGTGATTCTGCAGTGGGGTATTATAAGAACTCTCAAAACTATGTATGGGAAGCCTCCAATTGTTCCCTGCGACACACATACACATGGTAGCTTAGTGTACATCCTAAGGCTATAGTCTCTGCCAAGTATTATTATGAGCAGATAATTCAAGGTAAAACTTTTGTGGGTATTTACTGTTCTTCCCACCTACAGTTAGTTCAGCTTTGTCACTAAGCCAACAACACTGGGGTGAATCAGCAACGTAGAGGAATCTTTGTTTTTCTTTCTTGTCCTCTCTCTACCTATCCAATTGTCTCTCTATGAGCTCTTTGCACCCATTTTTTTTTTCCTTTTATACATCAAACTGTCTGTCTCTTTCTCTCTAATCCCCACTTTATCAAATCATCTCTCTCTATCCACCAAACACTCTCGTCCCCACTCCATCTATCCAATTTTTTTCTAGTCATCAAACTCACTTGCATTCTCTCTCGTCCCCATCCAGTTTTCACTTATCTTCGGGTATGTTCGGACAATCGTGTGGAATTTCTTTTACGCAAACACACTTATTAATTAAATTGTTTACTGGAAAAATGGAGGCTGACCTCCTCCTTCCACCCTCTCAAACGGAATCACCTTTCTCTTAACAGTACTTTTATATATTTATCTTATCGTAGGGTGTTGGTTATGAATCTATAATGCAGTTCTATAAAGACGAAGACTGAGCCAGTTGATTGTTTACGCATCAAAGAAAACGGAATCACTCGGTGCTCGTGACGTTACTTGTGCTCCACACATTCAACAAAAACAAACATGACGAGAGCACTTACCCAGTTTGTGGGAGTTTATCACAGATTAGGAACAGGGATGATATAACTTTTCCATCGCTTTCTGAAGGATAAAGAACTGAAAGGAAGATGGATTCACTTGTGCAAGAGGGAAGACTTTATAAATGCTGAAAACTGCCCAAATAAGCAGCTTGCATTTTGAGGCCAGTGTGTTTGACAACTTGAAATATAAACTGCTTGGACTACCAGTACCAAGAACACTTGTAAGGATTAAGAATGGAGCAATACCAAAGGTGAGCCAGTAAATATTTACAAATGACTCCTCATTCTGAGTAACTTTAATGATATACATTTCCGTCGCAAATTTATAATAATGTACCTGATAGGATCTGACCTAACCAACCAAAGGAACCTACTTATCCTTACCTTACTTTCTCCTCCGGAGCCCCAGCCACATTTCACAGAAAGTACTTATTTCGTTATCTGGTGTGGGGTTTCGAGATGTGGTCTCACACTCAGGATGGGTTGGAGAAAGGAAACTCACAATGGGTTTTCTTATATATAAATATATTGAATGTACAGTGCAGTTTGGTGCTGGGAAGTTGCTGCTTGGAAGAGGAGTTTGCTGAGAGGTCTTGCCGGTTCAGGAACGTGGAGTAGAATGAGAGCTGATCAGCGAGGAGCTTTTCTCAGAGGAGGTGTTGCATGTTGCAGGGCTGTAGCTAGAATGAGAGCTGGTCAGCAAGGAGCTTTTCTCAGAGGAGGTGTTGCATGTTGCAGGGCTGTAGCTAGAATGAGAGCTGATCAGCGAGGAGCTTTTCTCAGATGAGGTGTTGCATGTTGCAGGGCTGTAGCTAGAATGAGAGCTGGTCAGCAAGGAGCTTTTCTCAGAGGAGGTGTTGCGTGTTGCAGGGCTGTAGCTAGAATGAGAGCTGGTCAGCAAGGAGCTTTTCTCAGAGGAGGTGTTGCGTGTTGCAGGGCTGTAGCTAGAATGAGAGCTGGTCAGCAAGGAGCTTTTCTCAGAGGAGGTGTTGCATGTTGCAGGGCTGTAGCTAAAATGAGAGCTGGTCAGCAAGGAGCTTTTCTCAGAGGAGGTGTTGCATGTTGCAGGTATAATGCTACAAATCTCACAAGAAGAAGATTACATATAGGTAGAATATTGATAGTATAAGAGTATAAAGAGAGGAAGACTTTGGTAGCGTGGCCGTGATAGTTATTTACACTTATCGTATCTTCTACGTCAATACACATCTATTACGTCTTAAAGGCGACTTCTCAAACACCGCTTCGTTACAACTCTTTATTAATTACGAACATGACATGGACACATTAATAACACCTTCTATTGAAGTTACTAGGACATTATATTTACGTTACTAGGACATCATATTACGTTACTAGACACTGATTCTCGGACACGAACATGAAATGAATGCACTTCCCACGTAGGTAACTCATCCCATGGAAAGCTCTGACAAACACTCACGTGACCTAGGGGAGGCCTAGCAGGTAGTCCTGGGTTGTCTCTATGGGAGACTGCTTAGCTGGGCGCCGGAGGGAAGTCTCGGTCCTGGCCGGAGGCGACTGGAGGCGACCGGAGGCGGCTTGCCTCCTGATCCCTGACTTCTCTCGAGCAGGACTCGGCTGTGGTGGACCTCCTCCTCCGATCCCTGTGTATCTCTCTGTCTGACTCTGCGAATGTCTGAGGGAGGACTGGGACGTCCTATATATTGGGAGGTGAGCCGTCAGGTTGAGCTGATCTGGGGGGCGGCGGCGAAGGGTCTCCTTACATTTGACCTGGCCAATGTGAGGTCAGGTCTGGACGTTCTCAGAGACTATAAGTTATATCTTCTGGAAAAGTCATCAGGTGGGGCCGTGTGACATGAAAGGCCCTGGTTGATTTGTGGCCTCTTGACTTGAGCTCGAGGGTTACATTTGACCTGGCTAATGTGAGGTCAGGTCTGGACTTTCTCTGGGATGTAGGTTATTGTATATTGGGAGAGAGTCGGCTGGTGCCTTCTTACATGTTTGTTGTGGATCCGTGTCACATGGGAGGGGAGCTAGTTGATTTGTAACACCCTTGATCACCTGCGAGGGATACCCTTACACTTGGCCTCCCTAATGTCGGGTCAGACTGGAGTTTCTGAGATGTAAGCTGTGGTCTGACAACCCATCACTACACCTCCCGCCAAGACCAAAGCTTTCATGCTCAGAGAACTGATGACACATTTAAAGTAGACAGTAACATCATATGCAGTATCTAATATAGTCCCTGAGGCGATAATGCATCCTTACATTTTACAAATTATATCCCTAGAGATGTATGTTTTTCTACTGGCATAGTTTGATCTGACAAAGCTTACTATACCTCCCGCCAAGATTAAAGCTTCTATGACAGGAGAAAAAATAAAATACATACACAGTAAGTGAACATAGAGTGATCTAAAGATCCTTCATAACTAGCATAGTGTCCGAGGTAACCTTGCAAATCACATTCTACCAACAAAATCAGGTGTTACATTGCCTAACCAGGCCGTGTCAAAATAAGAATTCGTCCCACTCAGTAGTATGTCTACAACATTGTGTTTGGTAATACAAAACATTGATCAAATTAACTCATAGAAAAAGTGACTAATCTTTAAAAAAAAACATTCTTTGTAGTACATGTTAACAAAAATCAGAGAATCAAATACAAAATACAAAATGCTCCTGCTTCACATGTTAGGGTGTTATATCTTTTTATTACACATCAGCAACATCAACAACATCAGTACATTTGTTTGGTTCAGCATGGCTCAAGTCCTCCATCCAGCTGGTATCTGAAAACAAGGAATGCTGGCAGCACAACAGCGGTAGTCGGTTGGTCCTTCTGATGATCCACCTTTTCATCGTCGACTTTCTTCTGATGTCAGCACAGGACGTCTTCTGTCTTCACCTAGCACGTTTTTCTTTCTTCAATACCGCAC